TTTTTATTTATAGCGTAGTAGATTTTACAGCGCAACAGTTATGAACACACATTACAAATCATACAGAACAGCATGAAAAGTTTAAATTGTTACCACTATTATTATTTTTTTAATAACACTATAAAATAATTGTATTAATATTGGTTAATTTTATTATTATTATTATTATTATTATTATTATTATTATTAACCAAGACTAAAATAACCTTATTTTAAAGTATATATTTCATAATTCCTAGTTTCTTTAAATGAACTACACACTAGGGCACACAAACTCTGTCAATATTATTCCATGCAAAATAATAAAATAATATTCAGAAAAGTTTCAACAATAAATGACAATATAAATGACCATATTAAATATAAACATGTTAAATATGAATAATATTAAATATAAATATACACTGAACAAAAAAAATTGTTTTTTTAAAGTTGTAAATAAAAACATTTATAATACAATATAAGAGTACATTTTTACAAATAATACTATTTCAGTGTTTCTACTTTTAAAAAATCACGTTTAATTCAGTGTGTTACTTGCTGGTTTTTAATAATTATGGAATTTACTAGCCTTTTCTGAGTGAAAACTGTTTTGACATCTTTTTTTCAGTGTATTAAATGCAATAAAATGACTTGTTTGTGAAAAGGTTTCCATATGTTGATATTGTGCCCTGTGTCTGTACTAGAACTATACTTTACAAACCAGTGAATACTAATGAGTGAGCACTGCTGACAGTTGTCAGGACGGGTTAACTGGTTACCTGGTTGATTTATATCTCATTTGTATTCCAGATAGAGTAGGGTTTGACTCGACAGGCATTCAGGATGAGAACGAATCAACCAGCAAGTCCCCTCAAGAGAAAACACACACACACAGAGACACACACACACACACACACACAGACATGGGGTAATGTCCTGAAAAGTCACCTTCTCCTTGTAATACCTATGTCATACCTTTGTCATTATACAAATTTATGTCCTCATTTGTCACAAAAATGCGCGCACAGACACACACACACACAGATTCACACTTCATAATGAGCAGCTCTTCAGTTCCTCAGGCAGATCTTTTAACCTTTTCCTCTGAAGGTTTGTGTTCCACATCAGCTCTTCTGTCTGACAGGATCTCAGTCCAGGATCTTCCTCACTAACGCTTCAGGCACATGCTTTCTGGGGTACAGTTATTATTTAATTATTCTCTTCACTGATGAGACTAACACTGTGAGACTGCTGTTTCTCTCCATCAAGAAGAAACATTCTGAATCTGACAGATGGTTCACTCTTTAATTACGCAGGGTTTTGTCCTGATAGAACACTTCTAATCAGGTCAATCTGGAGAAAGAACATTTCCAAGTGCTTCTAGCTTTACAGCTGTGCTGGAATTACTTTCCTTTACTTTCCCAAAATATTCATATTATGGCTTAAAGTTCTTTAAACGGGTCATATTTTGCTTGATTTTTTTCAAATGTGTTTAGTCCAAGAAATGCTAGCTATATGCCAAAATTCATTAATCCATTAGCTATCATGAATAATTTTTTAAAATTATTTTTACAGAATGTATTATTTTGGTAAATAATAATAATAACATTATTATTTAAAATAAGGCTGTATAAATCTTAATTAACTGTATTATTATTATTATTATTAATACAACCTTATTTTAAAATAATAATAATTATAATAATAATAATACTTTAAAATAAGGTTGAATTAATTATTATTATTATTATTACTACTACTATTATTAAATAATTATTATAAATTATAAATAAAAATAATACAAACTTATTTTAAAGTCCTATATATCTTTGTGTCTGTATTTCTTAATGACTTTATAAACGAAGCGTTGTCGTTCCTCCACACATGACAGATGAACGTCTCACAGCGTCTCTGAATCATCTCAGATCCTCAGGACCCGAAGTCATGAGAATAATACATCAGCAGTGTCATTGAAGCTGTTTTCAAACACAGCCGGACAGCACATGAATTAATAACAGCCCTTCCTGAAATATCCCTGGAGTACGGCTCTCACAGGAACAGGAAACGCATCATCGCTGCGGACCCTCACGGCCACTGTCATAGCTAATACAGCTTTAATGAAGAGTCGGGTTACACCTGAGTGCAGGGGTCATGTGATCGGGTCATGTTCGTCAAATTAGACACGTGTGACATGCTCAAAAACCTGGATCGAACCACAGTAACTCATGCATCTCTGAATATATGAGTGTGTGTGTGTGTGTGTGTGTGTGTGTGGAGCTGCAGGTTCATTCGACCCCTAAACAACCCACACACACCTGCTGTAAGGAGGTTTACTGCTGTCTCCATAGTTACAGGCTGTTCCTACTAAACAACAATATAAGGAGCCACGGCTGTAATCTGGACAGGAAATGACTCATGAATTAACCTGTGCATGCAAACACACACACACACACACACACACCCACCCACAAAACACTCACACTCAGACTCAGACTCAGACTCAGACTCAGACTCAGACTCAGACTCACTAATAACTCTGCTTTAGCACACAAATCTAAGTTTAACAACAGTATTTAGTTAAAAAAGCCACAAAATTAACCACAGTTACACTAGAGTAACTATAATTTAACTGTGGTATTTGTCTTCAAAAACACAGTAAGCATAAAATTACCTTTGCTTTTACTAAAGTTATACACCTGAACTGTACAGATACATACAGATGATATGTATTGCATATTTTGTATTTGTGTATTGTCACTACAGATGCAAACTAAAAATGTTATTAGAAATAAATAGAAACATAATCCAGCATGTTTTACTTTTGTATTTTTAGAATGATGTTCATTAATGTTCATTTAACAACGAAAACCGAGAGAGAACAATCAAAACAAACAAATAGACGAATAAACAAAAAATTAAATATAATAAATTATAAAGTAATAATATAATATTATAAAGTAATATAACAAATATATAAAAATACATAAACATAAAATATAATTTCATAATATATAACTGTATATAATATATAATATATTATATTTATACTATAACTATGTTATAAAATATAAATTAAATGTAATATTTTTAATATCTGATTGTACTGTACTTCAAGGAAAAAATTCCATGGAACTCCATGGAAACCGCAGCATCTCATGATGGCTATAAAATAATAATAATAATAATAATAATAATAAAACAAGAAGAAGAAGAAGGAGAATTAATATTATAATTATAATTATTATTAAATACAACAATTACAAAAAAATAAGAAATATGGCATTGTTCAAATATTAAAATATTAACTGTATTACTGCATACTAAAAATAAAAAAATCTAGTATTTAAGAAAAAATAATATAACAATATTAATTTTATTTTTACTGTAATATTAAAACTAGTGCATATATTTATTTAAATCACGGCCTTTGCTTTTTGATAATCACACTAAGCCATATGGTAATTTTGGTATGATTTTAATGAATCATGCAGCCCTACCTCATCGTATATTTATTACTACGCCTTATAAAGTATTCAACTATTTACCAATGATCATATTAAAGCAATAGTTCAGCTTCTGTCATCATTACGCACCCAGAAAAAGAAATTCAGGTTTGGCATGATGTGACGGTGAGTATATGATGAAAACATGTTCATTTCTGACTAAACTAATCTTTTAATTACTCTTCCTTCATGACAATATCACGACGAAGTGAACATGAGCTGAACTGTAAAATCTGGTGGTTTATTCAGAAATATTCCTCCCGATCAATGTAATTACAAACGTTACCGTGTTCAGTTTTCGTGTGAGTGAGAGTTGTGATTAATGAAGCTGGACTCACCAGCACTCGTCCCGTGAGCGTCTGAGCAGAGATCATGACCCCGGCCCAGTCCTTCACTGAGGTCATCCATCCCACCTCGCTGACCACCGCCTCCGCCTCCCGCTGACCCACCGCTTTAATCACACCGTCACCGAGCACCGCCGGGTTACTAAATTTTTAGTTGTATTACATCTAATCATATAATAAAAAAATGAATAATTGTATTATAATTACATTAATATGACAGAAATTACTGCATTGCAGTCATTAAAATCTAATAAGAATTCAGATTTTAATGTCGACTGAGAAATTTTCAGCCTCAAATTCAAATTACTGTTTTTTTTTTTAATCTTTAAAATAGCATTTTTAATTATTAATTCAATTATTTAAGTTTAAGGGTTTTTATTTTATTTCATTACAGTAATATTTTTTTATTACTGTAATGCAAGAAGTAAAGTAGGAAACAAATGAACTGTATTGTAATGGCAGCTGTAAAAAAGCCACTGCTGAGCAGCAAACAGGTGTTTGAAGCTACTGGAGTCTCTAGATCCTCTCCATGGCTTTTTTACAGCTGCCATTACAATACAGTTCATTTGTTTCCTTAATAAATCTTTATCTGACCAAGATCTTCTGTGCTCTAAGTCACTCACAAATCTTTTGACAGTTCAATAATCTCTATTTGCTTTTCGCAAAATATTGTTTGTTTTGATGCCTTTAGCAAGACATTGCATTGTTTCATACTTTTCATCTTCAGAAAGATCTTTCTTCCTCAATGCATTCAACACTACATATATTTACTGTATGGATCACCTGGATCTAATGGACAGACATGAGTTTTTAGAAAGTTAATAACCCCCAGAACCAGCGCTCTTATTGTTAACTAAAACTAAAACAATGAAAAAAAAAAAAAACTTAAACTTCAAATATATTGAGCACATATATAACTCCTGACTCATTTACTTTTCATGTAAGTACTAAAGTACTAAAACTATATATATAACTAAACATAACTAATAATTAAAATAACTGGCAAAAACACAACAAAATTACTAAAACTAACAAATAAAATGATAACAGGCAATATAAGAATAAAATCTAACTCAAAATATTAACCAAAATTATATATAGACTTTTCTCTATCTAACTTTTTTAAAATGACTGGGTTTTGCAAAGGCGCTATAATAATAGTTTATAATATTTTTTTTAAATAGTTTTAATGACACTAAAGTAACACTGACCAATATAAGGGCTTTGACTGGTGCAGAATTACAGTTACAGTGCATTCGAGCTACTGAAGCTTGTTTTTCATTTGTTGAGGACATATTTTTGGCCGTGAGCAAAGAAATGTTTCCAACAAAGACAAAACTAATTCAGCAACTTTCATCTAAATTCTGGTAGACACGTTTGAAGTCTGATAAAACACGCGCACTGATAACATAAACTCAATCCCGCCTGAAGCTGAAGGAATCTGAGCCATTCACTAACAGAGGAAGCAGCGATCGCATCGCTTTCAATAAAGCACGCCAAAAAAGGAAGAGAAATCTATTTCAGCCGATAAAACAGTCTAGAGAAGATTCACAAGTTAAACTAGTGTGTGACGCTGAACAAACAGCGGGAATCTATCTGACTGTACTGTACACACACATAAATAACACTAAACACTCACATACACACACACACACACAAATAACACTAAACACACTCACACACACACACAAATAACACTAAACACACTCACAGACACACACACACACAAATAACACTAAACACACTCACACACACACATAAATAACACTAAACACTCACACACACACAAATAACACTAAACACACTCTCACACACACATAAATAACACTAAACACACACACACACACACACACGCACACACACATAAATAACACTAAACACTCTCACACACACATAAATAACACTAAACACTCTCACACACACATAAATAACACTAAACACTCTCACACACACATAAATAACACTAAACACTCTCACACACACATAAATAACACTAAACACTCTCACACACACATAAATAACACTAAACACTCTCACACACACATAAATAACACTAAACACTCTCACACACACATAAATAACACTAAACACTCTCACACACACATAAATAACACTAAACACTCTCACACACACATAAATAACACTAAACACTCTCACACACACATAAATAACACTAAACACTCTCACACACACATAAATAACACTAAACACTCTCACACACACATAAATAACACTAAACACTCTCACACACACATAAATAACACTAAACACTCTCACACACACATAAATAACACTAAACACTCTCACACACACATAAATAACACTAAACACTCTCACACACACATAAATAACACTAAACACTCTCACACACACATAAATAACACTAAACACTCTCACACACACATAAATAACACTAAACACTCTCACACACACATAAATAACACTAAACACTCTCACACACACATAAATAACACTAAACACTCTCACACACACATAAATAACACTAAACACTCTCACACACACATAAATAACACTAAACACTCTCACACACACATAAATAACACTAAACACTCTCACACACACATAAATAACACTAAACACTCTCACACACACATAAATAACACTAAACACTCTCACACACACATAAATAACACTAAACACTCTCACACACACATAAATAACACTAAACACTCTCACACACACATAAATAACACTAAACACTCTCACACACACATAAATAACACTAAACACTCTCACACACACATAAATAACACTAAACACTCTCACACACACATAAATAACACTAAACACTCTCACACACACATAAATAACACTAAACACTCTCACACACACATAAATAACACTAAACACTCTCACACACACATAAATAACACTAAACACTCTCACACACACATAAATAACACTAAACACTCTCACACACACATAAATAACACTAAACACTCTCACACACACATAAATAACACTAAACACTCTCACACACACATAAATAACACTAAACACTCTCACACACACATAAATAACACTAAACACTCTCACACACACATAAATAACACTAAACACTCTCACACACACATAAATAACACTAAACACTCTCACACACACATAAATAACACTAAACACTCTCACACACACATAAATAACACTAAACACTCTCACACACACATAAATAACACTAAACACTCTCACACACACATAAATAACACTAAACACTCTCACACACACATAAATAACACTAAACACTCTCACACACACATAAATAACACTAAACACTCTCACACACACATAAATAACACTAAACACTCTCACACACACATAAATAACACTAAACACTCTCACACACACATAAATAACACTAAACACTCTCACACACACATAAATAACACTAAACACTCTCACACACACATAAATAACACTAAACACTCTCACACACACATAAATAACACTAAACACTCTCACACACACATAAATAACACTAAACACTCTCACACACACATAAATAACACTAAACACTCTCACACACACATAAATAACACTAAACACTCTCACACACACATAAATAACACTAAACACTCTCACACACACATAAATAACACTAAACACTCTCACACACACATAAATAACACTAAACACTCTCACACACACATAAATAACACTAAACACTCTCACACACACATAAATAACACTAAACACTCTCACACACACATAAATAACACTAAACACTCTCACACACACATAAATAACACTAAACACTCTCACACACACATAAATAACACTAAACACTCTCACACACACATAAATAACACTAAACACTCTCACACACACATAAATAACACTAAACACTCTCACACACACATAAATAACACTAAACACTCTCACACACACATAAATAACACTAAACACTCTCACACACACATAAATAACACTAAACACTCTCACACACACATAAATAACACTAAACACTCTCACACACACATAAATAACACTAAACACTCTCACACACACATAAATAACACTAAACACTCTCACACACACATAAATAACACTAAACACTCTCACACACACATAAATAACACACACACACACACACACAAATAACACTAAACACTCACACACAGACACAGACACACACACACACACACACATAAATAACAATTAAATTAAATTGCTTTGGGGTAAAATAAATGTCTACGCATCTTTTTTTTTTTATATATCTCTGACTAATGAACAGACACTTTATATTATTTTTTTATCAAAATAAACTTCTTTATCACTACCATTTACATAAATTACATTGCTATACTGAAATTATTCTAAATAAAAATACTGAATTTTTTTTTATTGCTCGTCCCATTCTATGGGCCAAGAAAATATATAAAATACATAAAAACGCAGAAGACACTTTTTTTTTTAAACAATTTTTATTTTTTTTTAAAAACCTTACCAACTCCAAACTTTTGAACCATAGTATACATTTACTTCAGTACTAAAAAATGTTGGTACAAATCATTCAAATCACATTAAAAATGGCCTATTTGATCCAATATTTAATGCTTATTAGAGCATCACACTGTTAACATAAGCAATAACGTTCCAAATCAGTCACTTATAAGTGTGTGTTTCTCTGTCAGCAGTGGTTAGAAACGGAGCCGCTCTTATTTAAACAGAAACAGAGAATCACTCCAAACACAGCAGCGGTCAGAATCAATCGCTCGCTCTCAGCTTTATTAGCCATCAAAGACACAATATTGATGTGCTATATTTCTGTGCGATTGCTGTTCGGCAGGCCGCTGAGATTCAGGAGCCGCTTCACTTCAGTGTAACTCGGCCGTTCGCTGGAGAAAATGGAGAGAAAATGAAGACAAAAGCGAGGACAGAGATCAGAGATCAGAGAAGAGCCGTTCACAATGACAGTGACTCTGAGCGGCTGTATTGTCGTTCCTCCTGAAATCACTCTAATTGTATTGGTGAGCTGTAAAACTGACCAGAGCTCTTGAAAATCACATCACAAACAGGACGGACTGCCGGCAACCATAAGATGCCATTAGAATTCACAAGAAACGAGCTCTTCAGTCAAATCTTGCCACTAAAAATAGCAAAAAAAATTACGTTTCTGCTGCCAAA